CGATCGGAAGTAATCAATGCCGCCCACTCGGATCTCTCAACCATAATGGGGAAGAAGAGTTGGAGTCGCGTACATACTGTATCTTTTTGGACTTGCCATTGGAATAGGAACCCGACTGATGCTCCCCATAATGGATAAGGGGCCAGAATCGTAAGGTTCTGGTTAACAAAAAAGAACAGCCAGGAAACAACATCAGCAGGGTCTCTAAAACAGTATGTGCCCAAGTCACAGCCAAACCGTCCCTCCTCAGGAAAATCAGAGTGGTGGAGGACGAAGACTACAGAACTTATCAGCCGGGAACAACCTTGCAGGATTTGGAGTTTGGCCCGGCTGAGTGGGCATGGAAAACAATAGCAGTACCAACGGGGGCGCAGAAACGTACCAACATCCTAGACTACTTGACAAGTTTCGGCTATAAACTCAGACGTAATCCGGTGAACACAGAGCTCATCTTGTCCCAGCGTTGGGAGAAATATATTCCGGGGTGCCTGGGCAACACGGTGAAGCTTGACTGGCAGGTCCCCCTCGCCATCAGAAACACTCATATAAGAAGCATGCAATGGCTTACATACTATCAGGCATTGCCCATCAACACATGGCTCAGCAGGAGATGGTCGGGAACATTTAGAAGAGACTTTGATGACAGCTGCGCAGTCTGTGATGATGGATCCCTTGAGGACGTGCCACACTGTCTAATAAACTGTCCTAATGCACAAAGAATTCGGAACAGAACGCGGGCGTACTGATCGGAGCTAGTCGGCACATCGCTACCTGACAACCTACTGACTCTCCTGACGGGTTTGGCACAACCACGTTTCAGAGAAGTCTGGCATTCAACCCTCTTCAGAAGACTTCACCCTTTTACACTGTGGATCATATGGAAGACTCGATGCAAACAAAAGATAGCACGCCAAAATACATTGACCAGGGAGGCCTGGGAGAACGTTCTACAACTTCTACAAACGGAATACCAGGCAGATTGGCGCCGAGCAAACAAGAATATAAAAGGATGATCCCACAAAAAAGCAAATAATCATAGACAAATTCATCAAGGACAGGCTCGGAACGGGCAAACTCGGCACAGTACAAGGTGACCCCCGGCGACTGTTATGGAAAAGGAGGGAGGAACAGCAAGGGAGAGACAGAACCACGGACCTTGCCTCGTTGGAAATGGCACAATCAGGACTACAGTTTCACGTAAAAAGGTACTTGGTCTCCACGTCACTGGGGACAGTAGGGTTTAGGGTTTAAGAAGAGCGGACAGAGAGGAAGAGGTGTCGGAGGTAATGGAAAAGACGAGCAACAGCGCTAGGTTTTAGGTCTTAAGATGAGGGTAAGGGAAAGATAGAAGGCAGGTTCTTTTGTTTATTGATAGTTTGACTTTTGTTATTCCAGTTTAGTCTTTGTTCAGGAATAGCATGTACCTTCCTAGGAGAAAGGAACACTGAACCCGATTTCCAGCAAGAGGCAAATATGGGAAATGGCCCCAGTCTTCCCGGTTGAGATGTGGAGGGATTCCCGGCCTCCTTTTGCTCCATATATAATACAGCATGCTATTAGCGCATACCACAGATTAAGCACATTGTGGAAATCCAGTCATACAGTAGATAAACCATAGACCATAAATCAACAGCAAATTAAGCGAACAGAGACCACAGATCAAACATGAGCAGCAGAACAACCTCAAATGAAAAAAGAAAGATCAATTTGTGATGGTGCTGGTACAACGAAAAACACACTCTCTCCACTTGCAAACAGAACATACATTACCGATAATGCAAGCAAACGACCAACAGTTGAGTGGAATTTCGTCCACAGATGAGTCAAAGAGGTCCTGCTTTGAGTGTCCTCTCAGTATGGGATGTTGCGAAGAACTCTTCTCTATTTTTTTCCTTTTTTTTTGGGACTATCTCTTCGATTTTGGCATGCTCACATTAGGACTGTTTGGACTCGAGCAAGACTACCAATGTGACAGTCAATGACACAATCAAGTTGTTGCAACTGTTCGCAGTCGCCGGACCCCAGGCCACATGTTCTGGCAACATCCCATAACCCACTACACCGGGCCCTGCATCAACGCTCTTTGCAGTGCCTGTGACACCGATTGCCAGGTCCCCTCTTTCACAATCTCTCTCATTAGACAACTTTTAAGGTGCTTAGTCAATCTCATGTTAAACCACCACCACGTCCACTGTCATCTTATGTGACGAGGAGGTCATGCCTTGGGCTTGGTAGCCTGTGGGATTTATGACTGGGCTGCTATCAGAATCTATATAACTATATCAATAGGTGCCCAAAACCTTTTGGCTGAATGGTACATGCATGTAAGCGTTGATAAACAGATCATGAGTTCAAGCCTGGATGAATAATATCAGGGTCTTACACCACTTATTTGTTAACTTCTTAAAGTGGGTTGCTAGACTTCAGATGCTGTTACTGCAATGGTTTTCCCTGTTGTGACTTACATCCTAAATGAGCTTATTATGAACACGACAATTTTCTTGCTGCACTTTTTTGCTCCAGGCTAGCGTACTCTATGCGGAAGATGATGGCAGACAAAGCTTTGGTTAGTTTGTGAGCATTGATCTCAGCAACCACCCACATTGCCTGTCTTGACAGTCCATTCTCCCATTCATTCCTTTCTTGTCCTTCCTTTTTCCTTCCCCCTTTCCCCACCTGCCCTTCCGCTTCTTGCACTTCCCCCTTTATTTGCTATTTTCGTCCCCTTGCTTCTTTCCTTCACTCTCAAGTTGAAGGAGAAGAGATGTATCATGTTCCCTGTCCTTATTCTTCCCATCTCAATACTTCATAGTGTTTTTTTTTTGGAAATGTGGAAGTTCATGCCCGTGGTATCTTTATCCTATGAATCGTAGGCTCTCTCTCTCTCTCTCTCTCTCTCTCTCTCTCTCTCTCTCTCTCTCTTGCCTGCTGGGGCCTCCCACACAGGCCCTAGGGGGGGCGACATGGGTTCACCGGCCCCCAGGCCGCACGCCCTTGGTTTGGGCAGCCTGGAGGGGGACCTGCTGGCACCCTCTCAGTCCCGCCAATCGTCCCTGCACCCGGATGCACTTGGCAAAACCACCGGGGATAGTCCCATAGGACCCTTGACCCCTCAGTCTCTTCTCACACCACTCCTTCACTCCTTGATTGCTTGCTGGCCTTGATTCCCTGACCTGTCGCTTGAAAGTCCAGTATCGTATCCAATAGGGCTAAGCCCAAGTCTGAACCAAGCAGACGCAAAACTTTATATAAATGGGTTCGGTACCGTGGCCGAGCTTACCAGGACACGCCAGAGCCATAGCCTGGCCTATCGGCCAGACCCACGGCTGCTAGGTGTCGTCGTCCGTAAGTAGGGTCGTAGCCTTCTCGTACCCTGGCCGTCGGGCACACCACATACTTCGTTGAAACCCCCAACTTTCCCCATGCTAGGGCGGAAAGGCCGCGCCTCTCAACGCGTCATCAGAACACGATCTTCCAGTGAGTGGGCAAAGTATAATTTTTATCTCCTTCGCGATAGGCCCCGCTAGGAGGCCGGGCCGGTCCACGAAGAGAAGCAACAAACTATAAAACGAAAGAAAAATATAACCAAACAAAAAACAACAGAAGCTGGATACTAGGCCCCACGGCTTTGGCACCCACTGTCGGCCTTCTTCGGGCGTAGCCTGTACCGGCTGCGGGTTTGCCTGATGATTTTTTCTATCCTGGCTCCGCAGACTGCACTATGCTCGTGCGACAATTCTAGTCAAGCTCATTCCCTGCCCGTGAGGCCTTCGTTTGTCGGCTTAGTATCGCTGACTACTAACGGTCACCTACTGTGGCACGCAATAATGCGCGCCCCACACACTCTCTAACTCGGTCGTACTCGGCTCGGATTCTCGCCACGGGCGAGGTTGCCGAGTTGAGCGTCCCGACGGGGTCTGTCCCATCAGTGCGCTTTTATTATCAAGGCCGCGCCCAGTGCGACCTTCAAAAACAACGGCAAACACCCCTGCTATGACAACGCACTACGCCAAACATCTCCAGTCCCCCTTTTCTTCTCCTTCTTTTGTTTTCTCTCGGTTCTGTGTGAGTGGATATGGTTTGGGCTTCATTGTATCAAAGGGATGATCAGCATGCTTCACCTCCCAGCAGAAGTAAAGAAGTCAACAAGGGGAGGAAACTCACAACACCCCAGAAAGTCTGGACCCATCAGCAGCGGTGCGAAGCACTCTGATTGCATGCTATTGAAATGCGTGCAGGATGAGTCCGTCTACAGCTCGTTTTCAGCTTTGTATGTCCTGTCAAAAGCAGTGCCATAATGGGTCAGCACAGGATAACAGTTGGAATTGCTTCTTTGTCCTTTCATATATGTATGACAGGAGACCCAAAGTTCATTCACCTTCATCTGGCTATGGATCGAAACATTCCCTTGGGCATGCTATATGTCAGAGTAATGTTTCTGAAAGCTTAGCACCCTTGACAGGCCACACAATGTTGTTAATCACAATAATGTTACATGCTGCGCCTGCACACGAGGGCCATTTTCCAGGCCCTGCGTCCCTCAGGCTGAAATCCTGAAAACCAGGGCCTACAGGCCCCGTGTCTGTTCAGCCCAAAAGCCTGAAAAACAGGGGCCTACAGACCCTGTGTCGTTTCAGACTAAAAATGGCAGTAGCCTTTTTAGCCTGAAACGAAGGGCCAATTTCGGTCTGTCATCAGACCGACCTGCCTTTAAACTCAGGCACCGAACCAGGGGTTTTAGGAACAGGCTATTTTTGGCCTGTTCCCACGACAGCTGCAGCGCCAGCCCCTGGCTCGGTTGGGCATTGGTAAGAGCAGCCTCCTGGACTGCCCGCCCTGCAACTGCAGGCAGTCGGAGGCAGTCAGGAGGCAGGCCGAGGTAGTACATAGGGACTTCCCATGCAC